GCAGTGTGCCCTTGAGATTATACGTGCAGTGTACAGCCTCAGATAAGGTCCTCAAGCCAGCCGAAGAAGTCAAACACACACTGCAAGGAAATTAAGACAGCTAAGAACCATCTTTTCCTGCATCAATTAAAACTGACAGTCTCAGTGCATCCACCTGCTTGTATCAAATGAATCCTTAACATTTGCCTAGCAGTTGTCATGTGTGAGCTGCTTACTGGACACTTTGTGGTGGCATCATATTTCCAATAATTAAAATAGATATTTATTTATTTGTAGAAAACAAGAGTGAGCAGAGAGCAGAAAAGGATTTCACCTTCACACACAGATGGATTTTTATTTTTGGTGGGTTTTGTTTGGTTAGTTCGTTTTGGTTTTGTTAAAGCGAGGAAAGAATACAGAGCAGAAGCTGATGGGAGGAATAAACGCTGACCAAACAAACTGCTCAATCTGAGCTGACTTCACTGCCAGAAGTTACAGAGAGGTACAAACAGAACCAAAAATTGTGCCAAAAATGTGCTCACTAGGGAAGCAGAAAATCCACTTCTATTCTGTTCTGCTTCTGTAAATCTACAGTATTTCCAGACACGTGTTATGAGCTGTTCTGTACATACAACAGGGTAACATGGGCACATGTGGCTCATGTTGTCCTGATGTTACAGCCATGTGTGCACTCAGAAGACAAGGTTCTTTCTTCCTTTGCACAGAAAAAATAAAAGGTCCAGAAGAGTGACTACCTTCTACACAACGTAGAAAAGCAGCACACTTCTCACAGCAGAAGCAAATTTGTCAGACTTTTCAACGACACAATGCTATACTTATTATTTTTTTTTTAGAAACCAAATATTTCTGTTTTAACTACTATAAACAACTGATGACCATGCACAGAGCTATTTCAGTAACAAGATCAGTATGGGAGACTGCAAAAAGTAATCTGCTTACAGGGCCCATACTTCATATAAGAAAGTAACATATTCATAAGTATTCTAGATCGTGTTATAAACACAAACATCTATTGAGTTAGATCTAATAAAAAATTTAGATTTTCATTATGAAGCCCACACATGACAGACAGCAATGTACTGATGGTCACAACGAAACAACAGATATTAAAACCTATGTAAACAGACATAAAAATCTGAGCAACAAAAAAGCAAGAGTTTACAGCAACACTTCCGTGCTTTCCCTTCCTTTTCCTCCCAAACTCCCTCAGTCAGATTACTCTGCACCCCTAGCAACCCATTTATACTCAGCTGGCTGTCCACCACCATTATCTCTACCACATTCTGCCCTCATGGATGACCTTAAACTGCAATCCTGGAAAATACCTTGCTCACCAACCCAAAGTGTCACTTGCTATAATTAGCATTCTAGGAGCTAACAATACAGCCAGTAAGGCACTGAGAAAGACACATGTCCTGCCTTAGTTCAGTGTACACCAAGTGATCAGTCAGATGACCATTAAAACAGTGAAGTCTTTATTCAGGCAGACAACTCGCTTGCCTCAAACCATAATCTGTCTCTACAGGATTTTCCTCAGAGAGATGGATAACGATGCTCTTTCATGTTACCTTCCTCACTATGAAATGTGGTGCTTCCAAATCTCCCTTCCTATTCCCAGGACTTCCTGCAATGAGAAAAATCTGACTTTGAATAGAACAACAGTCTCAAAACCAGGCTGTCATTCAGCAGAAACAGCTTTTGCTGAGTACACACAACTTCACAGAAAGGACACTGCCTACTGCAACTTCCCCCCAAACTGAGGACACGGAATAGCACGAGAATGTTATCCCCATTCCAAAATTTTAGTATTTTAAACTATTAAATCTTATCACCATCATCTTGTTCCAATTTGGATGGCCAGCTAACTGATTTAATACACTGAAGAAATACTAAAACTGCTAGTAGAAAGCTTTATGTAAAACTACTGTGTAACATAATTTAAAGAGCTTGGTGTTACGGTGATGCTGAGAACTGTTTAATGCCACCAAATTCCATTCATGTAAATGCCCCCTCACCAAAACAAAGCCGCCAGACTGCTGCCTAATTCCTAGTTTCTGCTAAATGTATGAAAATTCACTAGTATTTCATGTACAGTGTCAAGCAGAATAGCAAATACCCCTTCTACCGATAACATTTATTTTCAGGATCATTTAGTGTACGTAAAATAGTCTATTCCAACAAATAAAGACTCCCTCTAGTTAAAACTGAGGAAAAAAAAAATCAACTGAAGAGCAGATGAAAGAAATGTTTTTATTTGTGTAAACTAAAAAGTTTTAACTACTGAACAAATCAAAGTCATTAAGATCTCAGGAGACATCTTCTGAGCACTATGACCTCTAGAGAGCACAAAATGCATTCAGTGGCTATATTCGTCCTTTCCCATGATAAATGGCTATTGTACCTGTCTCCAGCTATACAAAAAGGGATGTTTAACTTCAGATGTCAGAGTGTTAAAAGCATTCTTCTGAGAGCTTTTTTTAAAAATGTACTACCGGTTATGTATCTACAGGTTTTTGGTGGACTATTTAGGACCTGAAATCCAGAGCCAGCATCATTCAGTTGAGAAAATACTTACATATTCCCTCAAGGGAAAATATGAGACAAAACATGCAAAACTGGCTTTGCAAGTAGCATGAATGACAGAAGTATCTAATTCCCAAGGCCAAAATATATCTCTTTTAGTGTCTTTGAAACACAAAATTAACAATTCTGTTAAATGTAAAGGAATATAATCTTGGACTGGACTCCACTGACAGAAGGTAATTATGTTAGAGACATACTAATCTAATACTCACTTCAATATTTAATTTGCTTTTAGTTGTGTTTTGTTTCGATTTTAGAAGAGTCAGTGGCTATCCAGCTTACTGTCCAAACCATTACAGTCACTTCAAGGACAGCAACTGCAAATTAAAACGTGGAAAATCCACTACTAGTTTAGCAGAGCTGAAGAAAATTCAGCCTTGTTTGCAACCCTGAGTTTAGTGTACCTGACCAAACAAATAAGCTTCTTCCCAGGATCACAGTGGTGCAGAACTGCCTTTAGTTTTTAAATGGAAATAAACAAGCTCATAAAATCAAAACTTTGTGATAGTGTTGTCTTCACTCTCTCTGATTGGAAAATGGGTGAGGTAGTCTTTGGGTTTTTTTACTTTTAGTATTACTTATGCACTATACATTCTTGTCCTGCAGTTTTTATACTAACAAATAAATGTATTTTACAAACATGTATCAGACAGTAGTTAATATTTTTCAGTAACTTTCACTCACTGAGAGGCTCAAGTTTTACAAACTTATTTTGAATGTGCATCTATTAAAAAGTTAATAACACAATGAGTATTTAATGCTACTTTTAAATTAAGAATAAGAATAAGAATAAGAATAAGAATAAGAATAAGAATAAGAATAAGAATAAGAAGAATAAGAATACGAATAATGCAGATCATTAACCAGTGATATGTAAAACAGTGACAATAACGCATGCTGAAGTTATTCAGAGCCACTTCACAAGTGACAATCTGGAAATGCCTGAGTAAACACTCAGGAATTCCTTAGCAGTAATTCTGTTGAAAGAAAACTGGCGGGAACAGAGGTGAAGAATGTAAGACAAAGAGGAGAGGCTTTACATCTGAAAGAGAACATGCTTATTAAAATACAGCTCTTATAGACTGAGTTGATATCTAGGGTGCTCCGTTTGCTGCCACTATGGGCAATATTTTGGAACTGTAATATGTCTCTGTTAACACGGCATTTTCAGAACATTCTTAAATGATTAGTGTTGCTACAACATGAGGAAACAACATCGAAACAAAGCCTCTACTGTAACAAACTACATTCCACAATTCTGGCAATTTTAACAAAAAAAAAACCCCAACATCAACATGATCTCTACACTCAGTTTGTAAGACCAGCTATTTTAAATTGTAACAAATCGAGAAGTAATGCAAGGAGTAAATTCCAAACTAACATAGCCATAACAGCTGGTGTGCAATTTAACTGCTGATTTAAATCAGCTAGTTATCACAACTAACTCCCCTAAACTGTTTCTAAAATGGGCAGACATGGAAAGGAAAAGAAAAAACAAAATGGTCAACAACCAGCAGCAGAAATGCCTTAAATACATTGAAGATCTTCTAGCTTAAGAAGAAATTCATCCCAGGATCCAAGAGCTATCCCAGGCATTAAATCTTTCATAAATAATCATCCTAATTGTCTCCTTAAAAGTTAACTTATCTCATATTCCTAAGCAATCCTATCCAATCAGAAGATCATTTCTTTTTTGTTAAAGCTATGTTTGAGAAATTCAATTTCAAGTTGTCAGCACTGATAGCCATTTATTCTGCATCTATACTGAAGTCTGTGGGACAGGGAGGTTGGATAACCAGCTGAAATGAATGAAAGTCTGACTCCCAAATGCACTTTTTCTGATTTTTAGGAGGAGAAAAGAGAATTATATTACCGTAATTGTTCTGCCTGCTCCCCTTTTTTGATCTTGCCAACCCCCCCAACAATATTTTGCACTCCTTTTTTTTTTTTTCAGCACAATAAAACTCAAATGAAAAGAAAACCAAACATTTTCCTTTGGAATTTTACATGGCTATTTTATCTTACAAACATTAACTTACAAACAAAATAAATGAAAGCTGATATCAATGCAGAATATCAACAACTATTCCTAAAGACATTTTATGATATCTGTCCACTGTGTTTTAGCAAACATACCTAAAGTTATATCAAAACACCAAAATTACACTGAAATCAAACTACAATCCTACAGTAAACAGTGGCACAAACCTTTCTGAGGAAGTCCTTCATATTAAAAGCAAAAGCATTCCTGACAATCTGTGACATGGAATACAACCCAAACAACACTCAAAATACCAAGGACCTAGAAGCTCCATTCCATTAAATATTTAGGTCCCCTGAATCCAAAACTGAAGAGGCAAAATAAAAGAGAAAAATAGAAAGAGACAGAAAGAACTAAACAAACAAAACAACCTTACCTTTCACAAGCTCGGACAGTCCATGCAGCAATTATCCATAACGAGATACTAAAAACCAACAGTACAGTTCCTGGACATATTGTCATTAGAGTCTTCATAACAAAACGGGTATTGAAGTTTATCTTATTTAATGCTCCAATGCTTCTAGATGAGGCATCAGTGAAAAGTTTGCTATGCAAAAGCATAACTCTGGCAATAAGATATAGTCTTAAGAACATTGGTATAGATAAAATAATATCCACATCAGCTGTTGTGGTGGATGGAGTGTAAGAAAAGGCGAGCCGGGCTGTCCATGTGAATGTATAGTTCCCAGGTATGGGATGTATAGCACACACCAGTATTTCCAAGCAGATAAAGAAAATACGCTCATAAGTCATGGCTATTCTCCAGTCATCTGCTCCATTGTCCACCATGAACAACTGAAATAATAAAATATAAGGTTAATTTTAGTACGTCATTAATAAACCTTGTTATAATTCCATTTTAAAATCCCATAGTTTTCAGAGCTGCCAATGACTACTAACAAGAAAATAAATATGCCATTTCAGAAAATGACATTACTACATCACTATGAAGTGAAACATAACTCTAGTTAAAACAAAAAGAATTTTTTCATGCACTATTTTTAAAACTGTACATGAAACCGAATTTTCACATATTATTTACTAACAATTCCTCATATTTTCTTTAATTGTCATTTCTGATGAAACAAAACTCTGGACCAATTAAGCCTTGTCCCTTCAAAAATCACTTGCTTACTCTACATTCATAAAATTAAGGAAAAATTAAGAAAGTGTTTTCAGGATGGGTATCTAAACTACAAATTTAAAATACTTTCTAAGATGCAACATTAAGCCTGTCCAAGAGCAAATCCATGCTTCAGCCAGGGTGATATTATAGCTTCTGTAGAACTATTCAAGGTTTCTTCAAGCTTCAGGCACCTATACAGACCAATGTAGGATGCAAAACTACCTGAGAAGCTGCACAAAGACTCAAAAAGATATGCTAAAAATCTGAAAAGCAAAGGCGGCAAATATCAGAGTAGCCCAGCAGCCAGGTGATGTCTACTTGCAGCTAAAAATGAAATACACATGTTGGTTCTTGCACAGTCACAGCTTTCAGTTTGCCACCCAGGAACAAAGGAACTGAAACATTTCACACAGTATAATAAATTATGTTCCTGATGATTCACTAAATAAATACTTAATCAAACAGTACTTGTCACTAGTAGTGTGTAGAGGTACGCAAGAAGTTTTAAATGGCAACTTTTCCAAAAGGAACATGACCTATAATGACAAAGAAGACACAACCTCAGTGACAGGAGAAGACCATCTCATCACTTCAACTATAGCCCAAATCTAAACAAGGTTGTTCAGTAAATAGGTAAGATGAAACAAAAATACTTTTGCAGGATTTTTAAAATTAGATTATTCAAAAATAATAGGTGACAAGGAAAAGTACACAAAGAATGCACTCCTTAACGTAAGAAAAGTATCATCAGCACGCTACATACCATATACAGAGCCAAAAAAATACCCAACTGCACTGCTCTTTGCCCATTTCCATCTTTCAAGAGTTTAAAAATACAAGCCTGATCTCTCTGTTATGTTTTTTAGAGATCGAAAACATATACTACATCCTCCTCCCAATACATTCAGTTTGTCTTTCAGAAAATTGCTCCAAACATTTGTTCAGAAAAGGGATAACTACAAATTAATTTTATTGTAGTTGAACTGATACTAAAAGAAATAAAAAAGTTAATAGTAGGAAACAAAACAAAAATGTCTGTATTTGTGGACCTGTTTTTCATCCCTTTATGTTCTTTCCCTCCACCTTACTGTATCTGGCGTCATTGACAAGGTTATGGTACTCAGGGGGCTGCAGGGGTGGTGTCTGTGAGAAAAGGTCAGGGGCTGCTCTGCAATGGACCCACTGCAGGACATAGCTGAGCTCATCAGTGAAGCATATTTAAGAAAGGGCAAAATGCTGCCCAGGCAGTCAGAAGTGAGGGGAAAAAAGTGTGAGAAACAACCCTGGAAATGCCAAGGTCAGAGAAGAAGGGGGAGGCACTGGAACAGAGATTTCCCTGCAGCCCATGGAGAGGACCATGGTGAAGGAGGTATTTCCCTAAAGACCACGGAGAGGACCATGCTGCAGCAGATACCTACACTGCAGCCCCTGGAGGACCCCACACGAGAGCAAGGTGGACGTTTCCTGAAGGAACTGCCACCTGTGGAGAGCCCACACTGGAGCAGATTCTCCTTACAAGAACTAATGCCCATGGAGAACCCATGCTAGAACACGTTTAGCCAGAATGGGTGCAGAACGTGGACAGAACCCACACTGGAGCAGCAGAAAAGCATGAGGAGCAAGGAGCAGTAGAGAGTAACTGTCATGGACAGACTCCCATTCCCCATATTCCCTGCACCACTCATGGGGGAGAAGATAGAGGAGCTGGGAATGAAGCAAAGATGTTGAGCCTGAGGAGAGGGGGGTGAGGCAAGGTGTTCTAGTTTTTGTCGTTGTTTCTCACCGTCCTACTCTACTTTCAACAGGCAATAAATTAAATTAATTTTCCCTAAGTTGAGTCTGTTTTGCCAGTGCTGGTAACTGATAAGGGATCTCCCAATCTTTATCTCAACTCACAATTTTTCATCTTATTTTCTCTTCTTGTCCTGGCAAGGAAGGAGAATCAGACAGCAGCTGGGTGGGGTCCTGGCAGCTGGCCAAGGTCAAGCCAGCATGCTTTAATTCTTACCTCCACTGTAATACTATTAAAGACAAAGAAACACAGTTTCTTTGTCTTTGAATTAAGCTAAAGAAACACTCAGTGAATTCAATATACGCAACATGAACACATATACTTTCCTTTACCTATAGTCACTCCACAAATTTCTCATGCTATATATGCAAATTGATACTGGAAGGCAAATTTATGTATGTATGTATTGCCAAAAAAGGGCTGGTTTGCACTTAGCAAATGTACTATTTGGTATGAAGGGCCAAACTTTCAAAACACAGTAAGGCTCAAGTGCATTTGATTCTTGTGATCAGCCTGTAAATGCTGTCAGTCAGATCACAGAAGGGCTACATCAGTTATGAAGAGGTCTAGGTATTTAGAACAACCAGAATACAGATGAATAGTAATCACCTTGACTGAAAAAGAGAGATAATATCAAACCTCTCAAATGCTGTATGGGTTTCCAAAGAAAAGAATAAATTAACAACAGAGTTAAATACTTCAATTCTCAGATATATATCTATATGTCAAATACATCTGAAACTTGCAGTGTTTTAAAATTTCTTTCAAAGTTCTGAAATCTGCTGAAAAAAGCAATGGTCTTTTGTCCTTCCTTTTTACCCACCATGTTTCATAGATTTCAAAAAGAATTCTATATGTAGGAACACATTTCAAGAAAAATTATACCTTAAGTACTAATTCAATTTAAAAGATGAGAATAGAAGAATGCTGAGTTAAACTTAGGCATTTAAATTTGATCTTACAATTTTCATAGAAGAAAACGTTATTTAATCACTGAGTGTTTAAAAACTTTAACAAGTCATTATGGAATACATGATAACATATTCACCTGTCATCAGAAGAAATCCTAACATGCTACAAAGAAGGAAGTTTCTCAGTAGTGTTCAGTGAAACGGGTTATGTTTGCAGATGCAGAAGGTCCCTATCAACTTCCCTTGACCTCAGCTGTGCCAATTTCTTCTAAGGAAAAAAACATTTTAACATGATATCTTTAGCTGTCATATAATGAGATTTAGGAGGTGAAAACTAGAAGGCACAAAGGATCACAGATCCAGTGCAAACATTTCTATTTCATAAAAACATTAACATTTCAAAATTATATTTATGAGCAAGATTTCCTTACAATTCTGTCTCTAAATTCAAACTGTGATGTATATCAAACACTCTGGAACAAATACGGGCCTCTAAAACAGGCTGTGAATAGCAATTAAATTGGGACATATTGAAATGACACAGAAATTAGTACAGGATTTCACCTACATTTTATATACTTGCAATTATGCAACCTACTAAATGCAAGTTTCATTTTTAATTTGGAAGATATATATGTGTTTGTGCATGCCAGTGTACTTGGCTAGGCACATTTCCTATTAGGAAAGAGAGGAAGGTAAATGAACAAAGAAGAGAAAGAATAGCTGAACAGCACAATTTAAAGGGTATGTACACACCCTCTTAGCTGCTTTCAGTCAATCCTGTTATAATAACCGTGCATTAATATCAAGATAGTACTCCCCATTTGAACGGAGAATGAAGCTAGCAATAAAAATATAACGTAATAAAAGAGCAAGCAAACTCTTCCTATAGAATTGAGTCCTGCGCTCCACAGAGAAGGCCAAATGCCAATCAAGGTCAAAGATGCTATACCTGTTCACAGCATTCAAATTTCTTATAATTACTCAGTACATTCAGTATAATTATTCACCTCAAATCTAATGCAAGTACTTCACCAGTGTTCTGCAAGGTTCTTCAAATGCAGAACTCTCATATACCTTTACTAAGTCTGCAGTGTATAAAAAAAATTTTAAAGTTATTTTCACCTGAAATTATGTAATGTATTTCCAGCACGTTGCATGTAAATGTAAGACATAAATCCGTCTTTAACTTCAAATAAACTGGATATTTGTAATACCACACAGTAAAAACATAAAAATAAATATAAAATTATAGATATTTATATAGGAATGTGTATATTTACAAAACAGTTTCCTAAATTCATATAATACCAGATGAGAGAAACACATTCAAAGTAGACAGATCGCACACAATGACAACAGATCAGAGACTCCCTGAAGCTGCTTAAAACAAAAGAAGTTAATTTTGTAAATCATTATTATGACAAAACAGATTCATAGCAGACTGTCAGAGGATGTTGGTGAATGCATAGAACAAGGGAACTAGCCATTTTCTACAAATGCCTTTATGATCTGTGTAAAAGAAAAATCTGAAAACTGTATCACGACCTTGCTGTAATACTGTGGGGATATGTTAACACAGGAGTAAAAAGGAAGCAATATACAGTGATAAAGTATCATCAGCTGTACTCCTGGAAGCATTCCTTGCAGAAGGGGTATCAACTGTACTCACAAACATATTGTTGCAATTGTTTAATTTAAAAATCCAAATTAAAAATGGTTAAATACTGGCATCACTTAGACCTTATAAAAGAACTGATGGGACTATAATTCACAGTAGCAAAATATAACCTGCAGGGCTGCTGATTTACCAAAATTTGTTACCATTTTTCTATAGTTTGTAGTCCCCAAAATATCATGCATACAACCAAAAAGACCATTATGGAACTCAGAGATGAAGAAGATACTGCTTTTGTCTCACTACTCCGAACAGTCAAGTTATTTTCCCAGAGCACCCCATTAAGTA